GACCACGACGACGACGCGTCCGAAATCAGCCGATAAAGCGACCCAACAGTGAAACCGACAAAGTGTCCTTCTTTTGACCGCAGCGGTTCCGAGACAGCCTGCAGGGCAGCGGCTCCGAGAAGCCTGCAGCTCAGCGCGGGTTCGTCTGCGGACGCCTCTGCCCCCCCCCAAACAACAAATCAGCCCGAGGCCCCCGGTGACTTTTTTCGGCCGGGCCCGCCCTTTGAAGGCCCCACGGCCAGCTCTTGGGTCGAGGAAGAAGAGGAGCAGGCGGACGAGGACGTTGATCAAGACGAAAACGAGGAGAAGAAGGAGCAGGAGGACGAGGAGGTTGAGCAGGGGGACAAGGACGAAATGCGAGGCCTTAAGCGGCTCCGAAAACCCTGCAGCTCAGCGCGGTCTGGTCTCGGAGCCGCTTCGGGCCTTTCATTCCGTCCTTGACCCTTGCTCAACCTCCTCTTCCTCCTGCTCCTCCTGCTCCTCTGGTTCCTCTTGATCACCTCCTCGTCCTCCTGCCCCTCATCCTCCTCGACCCAAAAGCTGGCCGTGGGGCCTTGAGAGGGCGGCCCCACAAAAAAATCACCGGGCCTCGGGGTGATATGTTTTTCCTGGGGGGGGCAAAGGCGTCCGCAGACGAGCCCGCGCTGAGCTGCAGGCTTCTCGGAGCCGCTTCGGGCCTCTGATTCCGTCCTTTCCTCTTGCTCTTCCTCTTGGACTGTTTCCTCACCCTTTGGGGCCCTTTTGGGGCCATCTTGAAGTCAGCTTGGGCCGTCTTGGGACCATCTTGTGGACATCTTGGGCCGTCGGACAGCCGAAAAAGAAAACGCGCCCAACTTATTCAACAATTAAAGGGGATACAACCATTTGGGCATTTCGGGCTCTCCTGGAGGTCCTCTTGAAGACTTCCTAGACTGTCTAGGAGGCCCCTTGGATCCCCTTGGGGCCCTCTGGGGCTGTCTTGGGCCATCCTTGGGCTATGTCGAATCGTATCGTTGCCATCTTGGACGTTTTGGAGCCGTCTTGAAGGCCATCGTGGGCGCCTTGGAGTTCTCGTGGGCCGTTTTGGAGGCGCCTTGTGGGCCTCTTGGACCGTCTGGAGGCCGTCATGGGGCCGTCTTGGAGGCCTCTTGGGCGCTCTTGGGGCCATCTTGGGAGGCTCTTGGGCGGCATTGGGCCGTCGGCGGGCCGAAAACGTCAAAATCCGTCAAGAGCCCACGGGAAATCAGCTGTCTTTGCCTCTTCGGGCCTTCCTGCAGGTCCCCTTGAAAGCTTCTTGGACTGCATTAAAAGCCTCTTGGGGGCCTTTGGAGCCGTCCTGGGCCATCTTGGGGCCATCTTGGAACGCCTCGGGTGCATCTTGGGCCGTCTTGGAGACATATTGGGGCCGTCTTGGGCTCTCTTGGGGCAATCCTGGCCGCCTTGGAGGCATCTTGGTGACCATCTTGGGCCATCTGGGCCGTCTTGGTGGCGCTGTGGGCCACGCCTTCTGGTCCTTCCGAGGGGCAGGCGGTCCGGGCCGAAGGCCACTGGGAAGGGTTTGAAAATAACAAGAGCAGCATAATGTCTGGCACGCCGTCCGCCCCTGTAACAAGCACAGGGGGCGGCGGATCCAAGACGCCTACGGCGAATCACCGCCGCCCCCAGCCTTTTTGAGAAGCGCCTGTGGCCAAACGTTGGGCCCCAGCTTGGCCAAGCTATCTGATTATGGATTCCCCCAGCCGGGATCAGGAAAGGGAGGAGGAGGAGGGGGAGGAGGAGGAGGAGGAGGAGGAGGCCTCTTGGGAGCCTTCTGGGGCACTCTTGTGGGGCCTCCTGGGGGCTTCCCGGGGGCCTCTTGGAAGCCTCTTGGGGGCCTCCTTAGGCCTCTTGGGGGCCTTGGGGGCGTCTTGGGGGCCTCTCCTTGGCCGTCTTAAAGCGTTCCTGGCCCGTCTGACGGGTCTGACGTCGTCGGAAGCCGTCTTGGGGGCCTCTCTGAACCGATGTGGGGTCCTCTTGAGGCGCTTCAGGGCCGTCTTGGAGGCCATCTTGGGCGTCTTAGAGGCCTCTTGGGGCCGTCTATGGGGCCTCCTGGGCCGTCATGGGGCCATCTTGGAAGCCTCCTGGGCGCACTGGGGGCGAGGAGGAGGAGGAGGAGGAGGAAGAGGAAGAAAAGGACTGGGAAAAGCAGGCGAAGAGGGAGTACGAAGAGAAACAGGGAGGAGGACCAGGAGAAGGAGGCAGGGGGGTAGGAGCGAGGAGACACAGTCGGACAACGAGAGACAAAGTCGGAGCAACCCCCAACCCCCAGAGTCTTGGGGCGCCCCAGAGTCTGAACAACACCTTTTTCAGATGCATCGGAACGCACCAGAACATCTGAATACGGGAATCGCATCGGATCGGAACACACCGAACCGACATCGATTGGGAAGAAGTGGACCCTGCAAGGAGAAGGGGAGGGCCCCTTCCCGAGAAGAGCGCCCCCGGCACGGTGAGGCCCAGGTCCGTGCGGGAGCGAGGCGAGAGCCTCTCCTCTGATCCAAGATCTGCTCGCTCACGGAACGCGACGCCCACTCATCCCCAGCGACGCACGCACCACGGCAACTGCAGACACATCGAGCACCACGAAAGCATCCGTCAGAGACGGTAAAACGCCCACGCACACATTCGGTATGAGGCAAGGAAGCACCGCGAACGCCGCGCGGCCGCAAAAGTGACGGCATCAGGAACCCACCATGGGAGAGGTCGAATGCGCGGCGCGGCGTCAGCCTCGCAGAAGACGATGAGGATGAACCCTTTGCACCAGGAGGTGCGGAAGCGCCGCAACATCAGCACAAGTAACGATACAACAACTGGCTGGCCGCCTATGAGCCAGAGCGGCGTCGGCAGCACAGGGCGCGGGGAAGTAATCAGGAGAGGACCGTCGCGCGGGGCGAGCTCCGTCCCACAAAATCGCGCTGCGCGGGGCAAGCTCCGTTCCACAAGATCGCGCTGCGTGGGGCAAGCTCCGTCCACATGTTGTTCGACTAGAGAGACTGAGAGGCGTTCAGGGTCGGCACCCATGAACGTCTAGATAGGTAGAAGACAAGGAGGAGTAGCAGCAGGAAGGATGAGGAAGGGAAGGGAAGGAGTAGGGATAAAGAGGAGGATCTGCCGAACCTCGTTGCCGGGAGTGGAAAGGCGTGTGAGATCAGCGGTCCCCCTCCCCCCGTTGCCCCGCTTTCTGGGACCAAAATTTCATTAGACCATGAGAGGGAGGGGGGGCGGGGGGGCGAAAGGGCAAGAACAACCAGCATCGAATTGGCAAATCGGATCGAATCGACATGTGCATCAGATCGGGCCGCATCGGCACAGAGTCGGAATCGGATCGGATCGGCTGCGCCAGGATGCACAACAGCGCCGTGCAAGCAGCAGATCGCATCGGATCGTCGGAACATCGGAATGGAGTCGGATCGGGCTGGCCGAGAGCGATATCGAATCGTTTCGATCGAATCGAAGTGGGCCCTGGCAAGGAGGGAGGGCGCCTCTGCATGAAGTCCCCGAGCCACCCCCAGGCGCCTCCATGATGCCAAAAATTGTTCAAGGAGGTGGCAGAACGTCTCCGACGCGCCCAAGAAGGCACAACGGTACGCAAGACAGCATCAAGCAGCCCAAGAGAATCCCCAAGACGCCCCCCGAAAAGAGCCCCAAGAGATCCCTCAAGATGACGGCTCGAAGACGAGAGAACGGCTTTTGAGCCCAAAAATGTCCTTGTGTCAGTGTCCTGCCCGCGTTCCCGGTCACAGCGTGGCCGCATTGGCGCACCCCCCTGACCCGAGTGGCGCTAGAAGGGACTACAGCAGAGACAGACGGGGACGCAGGCGGCGCGCGGGAGCACACTGAGCCATAAGGACAGCAGCCACGCGCCGCCACATCGATGCCCCGCCCTCTCGGCGGCCCTGCCACCCTCCGCACTCACAGAAGGACACCACAGCAGCAGCGAGCAGCACCAGAGGCGCCACAGCTCTGAGAAACCAGCAAGGGTCGGACACTCAACCGGCGCGCGGCCTCCCAGCGCAGCCCTCCGCACCGCAGGCCTCACTCCACGAAGCTCGCTGGAGGCACGGTCCGCGAGGGCACAGAGAAGGCGGAACAGCGCTGGACCGGGCCGGAGCGAACACCTTGGCGGAAGGATTGCCTTGGCGAACACCTTCGCGACAGTAGCCGAGGTCCGCAGGAGCGCGCGCGGGCTCGCCGTACGAGCTGCCCGAGCCCTCGGCGGGGCGACCTGCGCAAGCGCCCCCCGGCCTCCCGCGCAAGGCGCGCGTCAACGGGGACGCCCTGGTCGGCAGCCAAGCGCTCGAACCTGGCGGGCCGCCAGCCGCGGCACCTGCGGGCCACCCTCGTCCGCGGAGCGACGAAGGAGAGGAGGGCCTTGCGTGAGGAGGCATCGCGACGTTCTTACGCGGTGGCCGAGACGCGGGCCGCTGCGCACGGCACGCCGCGCGCGAGCAGTTCGCGCGCCGACGTCGGTGAAAACGACCCTTCTTTCAAGGAAGCCAAAAGGCACCGATACCGCTACTCCCCGGACCTTTCCTGGGTTGCGTTCTGGTCGAGAACTTCGAGGCGAGTCCAGCGGTGGCGACGAGGGCCCCCCAGGAGGCCCAGAGAGGGGAGGGGAAAACGAGGCAAGGGTAGCGGTATGGGCACCTTCCTTGTCCTCCTCTGGATGCTTGTCGCGTCGCTCTTCTGGCGGCGCCCTCGCAGACTGCCCCTCGCTCTCGCGGGTTGCCGCTGCCCGCCGCGCCCTGCCGACGGCGCCCGCACGGTGCACCCGCTCGGCGGTGGCCTGCGTCTCCAGGGGCGGCCCCGGGCCTTCCGCCCCGGCCCTGCGCGCCCCCGCCGGCGGCGCTCGGGCGCGCAAGCTGGATGGTTGCGTTCAAGGGTCCATGATCGAACACCGAACACCTCTGGCAGAAGGCGGACCAGCAGAGGGGAAGAAGAGGAAAAGAGGAGGCGTAGGAGGAGAAGAAATCCCAGGGAGCCTGGGCCGCCGTGCGCCCGTCTGTGGAAGTGTGGAAGAAGCAGTTGGCATGGTTCGCGCCAACTTCGCCGTCCTCGTTGGTGTAAGTTGGCGCGTAAGTGTCGCAGTCGCCGAAGCCGATGTCCCAGCTGCCCGCCTCACCAGCGCAAGTGACATGCACAGCCGCCGGCCCCCCTAGAGGCCGCAAGGCTGCGAAGCTGAAGGCTTCGATGAGGGATAGGGCGGAAGATCGTCCGTCATACGCGCTACCTACAATCAACTGCGTGCGCCTGGACGAAAAACTCCGTGCGCCTCCAATCAAGCGGATGGCGGTTCTTGCCTTTTTCTCTGCCTCGTCCTCCTCCTCCTCCTCCTCCTCCTCCTCCCCCCTCCTCTTCCTCCTCTGCCTCCCCTTCCCACTTCCCCCTACCCCTACCCCTCCCCCTCTTCCTCCTCCTCCTCCTCCTCCTCCTCCTCCGTGTTATCCGCCTCCTCTTCCTAATCTGATTATCATTATGAGTATTGATGTTATGAGTAGCCTTATCATTATTAGTTATAGTATGCTGCGTATGATGAATAGTATTATCATTGGTATTGGTCTAAGTAGCGCTCTTAATACGCATATCAGTATTACTCTTATTCTGAATAGTCTTAATACTATGGGTATGCATCTTCTTGTGTTACGATTCTTGTAATTCAATATTCATCTTAGCATTGTTAGAAATCGTATTAGCGGAAGTCGTATGTTTATACGAAGTTCCGCTAAGTAGTAATATCATTCGTCGTCTTTATAGTATTCGGAATGTTCCTTTTGCTTGTTAGTACCAGCATGAGTAATCGTGATATGAATATGACTAGCGACAGTAGTATGATTACTACTACTACTCCTACTACTACTACTACTACTACTACTACTACTACTACTACTACTACTACGACTACTACGACTACTACGACTACTACGACTACTACGACTACTACGACTACTACTACTACTACTACTACTACTACTACTACTAACTACTACTTACTACTACTACGACTACTGCTACTACTCTACTACTACTACTACTACTACTACTACTACTACTACTACTACTACTAACTACTACTACCACTACTACTACTACTACTACTACTACTACTACTACTACTACTACTACTACTACTACTACTACTACTACTACTACGACTACTACTACTACTACTACGACTAATAGTATTCGTTATACGACTGCTATCTTGAAATCCCTGATTCGTTTATTGGAAAGAGCGTGTTCTACCGCTGCTGGCGGAAAACCGGGGGGGGTCACTACCGGTTCGAACCCCTCCCCCCCCCCCCCTCCGGAAAACCGGGGGGGTCACTACCGGTTCGAACCCCTCCCCCCCCCCCCAGTTCATCATGAAAAGGGGGGGGGTCACTACCGGTTCGAACCCCCCCCCCTCGAAAGAAAATCACTACCGGTTCGAACCCCCCCCCCCCCCTCGAAAATCCCCCCCCCCCCTCGAAAATCGAGTGGGGGTGCGGACAGTGGTGGGGACGGTGTTGGCGGGGACAGTGGCGAGGGGACAGCGGGACAGTGGTGGGGACAGTGGGACAGTGGGACAGTGGTGGGGACGGTAGTGGTGGGGACAGTGGTGGGGACAATGGTGGCAACAGGGGGGACAGTGGACAGTGGTGGGGACGGTGGTGGTGGGGACAGTGGTGTGGGGACAGTGAGAATGAGGTGGAAACAGTGGGACAGTGGAGGGTACAATGGTGGTGGGGACAGTGGTGAAGGCGGTGGCGAGGACGGCGGTGGGACAATGGGACAGAGGGGGATTTTCGGAGGGGGGGGGGGGGGGCGACCCCCGGGCTCCGGAGGAAAAGGTTGGCAATTTTCCACAGTAAAGCGGCGGTGGATCACGCTCTCTCTATTATTGTCATTACCAGTAGAGGTCGCATTCCTACTACGCTTACTTTGAATATTATTGATAATACGATGATATGCATTATGATTGATATCATTCGTCTTAGTACGAACCGTCGTCTTAGTTAGCAGCTTTCACCTAGCGGGCAAAAAACCCTGCACGTTTTCGGCCTCGCAAACGGTGAGAAGCACTGACCTAGCTTTCCTGTGCCACACCAAGGCTTAGCAACGCCTCCAGGCTAGGCAGGGCCAGCAAAACACAGAGGAGGCGGAGGAGGCGGAGGAGGAGGAGGAGGAGGAGGCGGAGCAGGAGGAGGAGGGAGGAGGAGGACGGGGGAGGCTGCCCCGTGTTTAGTCAGAATCGAAAATCGGTTTCGGCGGGTCGGCGTCGGCAGGGTGGGGGGCCAGCTGGTAGGGTCGGCAGGCGTGATCGGCAGGGCCGTGGTCGGTCGGGCGGCCTAGGGTCGGCAGGGTAGGTGGTCGGTTCGCATAACGCCAAGAATGCGTGGCCAGCGCTGAGGCTGGAGAAAGCAAAACCGCATGTACGCCCACTCGTTGGTTTTATTCCTTTTTCCTACCACCGTGTATTTTCCTTTTTATTGTCGCCCTGACACATCTGGGTGGAGGGACAATTGCAGATTCATCGCAATTCCTCATCTGACATGTTGCCACCAACCATCTAGCTGGCTGGCCGCTGCTGCACACTGGGCCTTCGTAGCCCACCAGTTAGTACCCTGCCAAACTTAATCCCACCAGCCCTCTGGGCGCAAGTGGTCTAGGGCGCTTCTTTTTCCAACTTTTGGCTCCAAGAAGGCATCAGAGAGCGCAAGATGGCCTCCAAGATGGCCCAATATAGCGGTCGATGGGTCAAGATAGTTGCCGACACACGTTCAAGAGGCCTCAAGACGGCCCCAAGACTGTCCCAAGTGTTGTCAGAGGCTTCTGAGGACCACCCCAAGAGGCCAATATCTTTCAAACACCCAAGGAACACCATTGGTTTGCCTTCTCGCTTTTTCGCTTCCGATGGGCTCTTCAGGCCTCAAGATGGCCCCAAGACAACCCAAGATAGGGGTCCAAAAGGGCCCCAAGGCGGCCCCGAGAGCGCCCAGGAGTGTTCCAAGAGCGGGCCAAAAAGGCCCCAGGACGACACTTTTCGAGCATCCGACGGGGGGTCGGAATTATGGACCACCCTCTTTTTGAGCGAAGGGGCCCAAGACGGCCCCAAAGGCCCCTCAGGCATCCCAGAAGAGCTCCAAGAAGGCCCCCAGACCCCCCAGAAGAGCCCCAAGAGCGCCCCAAGAGAACCCCAGGAGGGCCCCAAGACGCCCCACAGGAGCCCCAAGAGGGCTCCAAGACGGCCCTGAGAGGACCTCAATGAGAGCACCAAGAAAGAGCTCCAGGAGGGCCCCAAGGCTCCAAGAGAACCCCAAGACAGCCCCAAGATGGCTCCTAATTTCGAAACGCACGCGAGCTTAAGATACAAAACAGTGCAACAGCCATTACGAGTCATCGAAACACCCCATCACCCCTCATCGAAACACCATCGTAGTTTGCACCGGCGTCCATCTTAAACTTCAACGCGGGAAACTATGTGCGATCTTTGTTTTCCCGAAGACGGCTGCACGACTACATGCGTCCCGTCGTTTCTGGATGGGCTGGTGGGGATACGCGAAGCGTCAATAATGTATTCACACAATCATATGTACAGCCAGCCTCACATTCGCATTCAAAAGAGCAGGCCAATCCGGCGGTGAGGAGGAATGCCCCAATGCCGAGGATGACGAGAAGGAGGAGGAGGAAGAGGAGGAGGAGGAGGAGGAGGAGGAGGAGGGAGGAGGAGGAGGAGGAGGAGAAGGAGGAGGAGGAGGAGAAGGAGGAGGAGGAGGAGGAGGGGGAGGGGAGGTGGAGAACGGCCCCTGTCCCAAGATTGTCCGCATCGCCATGTCAAGGCTCACTTGCGGCACGTATTGGCGACAACCCGAATGCCTAGAGCCACATCTTACATGGTGGGCCGCGTCGTAACCCGTCAGCCCAATCCCTCGCCCGCTCGCGCAACGTGCGCCCCCCCTCCGATTTCCGTTGAGAATTGGACAATTGGAGGGCGCGCGTAGGCGAGCGGGCGACGGGAGGGGGTGACAGGTTACAACGCGCCCCGAGCCTCGCTCCAGGTCGTGGGTTTCTGCCAGGGCGGCCAACGACGCGGCCGAGGAAACTACTCATAACCCCGACCCACAGGGGGGGCGACAGCCATCATCTCTGACGTTTGATCGCTGGCTATGTCCTTCCCATTCTTGCTGTCGACGTTGCCTCCCGTCTACGACGAGCTCCTCCTCCTCCTCTTCCTCGTCCTCTTCCTCCTTCTCCTCCTCGGCGCCGGGGGCGCCGCCGGGGGCGCTGGCGGGGGCGGCCCGGGCGGCCCGGGGGCGGCGCCAGGGGCGTCGGCAGGATGTTGAGACCGCTGCGCCCTGCCTCCTCGCCCTCATCTCCTTCTACATCCTCCTCATCCCCATCCCCCTCTCCTTCTCCTCCTCCTCCTCCTCCTCCTCCTCCTCGCTCCCCCTCCTATTCCTCATCCCTTTCCTCCCCCTCCTCCTCCTCTTCCTCGTCGTCCTCCTCATTGTCCTCCTCATGATCATCGTCCTCCATTTGCCTCCTCATCATTATCATCCTTCTCGTCCTCCTTGTCCTCGCCCTGATCACCCTCGTCATCCTCATCTTCATCCTTCTCCTCCTCCTCCTCCTCCTCCTCCTTCTCCTTGTCTCTTCCCCCCCTCGCCCCCCCCCTCCTCTTCCTCCTCGCCCCCCTCCTTCTCCTCGTCGCCCTTCCCCCCATCCTCCGCCCGGGCGGCGCGCGGAAGCCAGCTGGGATTGCAGTGGGAGGTCGGCCGCGAGGGACTTCCCACGAGAAGCTCGGCCTTGAACAAAAAACCTTTCGAAGACCAGGGCGCCCAGGGCACCCTCGAGGAGGGGGGGGGGGGGGTGCCGCCCTGAAACCTTTCGAAGCACCAGAAGCTCAGGGCATACTGGAGGGAAACGGGGCATTTCATGGCCTGGGCCCCCAGTCCACACCCAGGCCTTGCCATCGCTCGCGGAGGGGGGGGGGGGGCAGGGGAGAGATGCGCCGCCAGCCAGCCAGTCCAGTCTTGGGCCCAGGATTGCCTGGCCAGGATCGGCGCGATTGGGCACCACGTCGACGACGTCGGCGACGAGGAGGAAGCGGAGAAGGAGAGGGAGCAGAGGAGGAGGTCTTTCAGACCTACTACGCTTGCTCCAGCGCAAGCCTCA